AATAAAAAATCATTTAAAATTTCCTTGAGGCAAAAAAACTCCCCCTCTTTTCAAAATCAGGGAGTTCCTCGCACGTAAAACTCGGAATGCACACCCCCAAGTCAGCGTGGCGCCGGCGCTACGACAAAAAGGAATAATGAGAGAGAAGCGACAAGTGACTGCCGCGTCAGCCCAGTAGAAAATCTGAGTCTGAGAGCAGCGATGTGCTCCGAATTGACGCGGCTCGCGCTGCAGTATGCAAGCACAATTCAAAAGTAACAACGGCAACAAGCCAATGTGACGGTTAAACAAGGATAGGCTAGTCTCGCTCGCACCCACGGGTTAGCATAGACCCCAACTCCGTTTAGCTTCGTTTGACTTTATTTTTCAAGATTTTCGCTTTATTTTTTTCAAAACGTATACATAATTCATGCTGCTACACGGATTGTATATTATTTTTTGAAAAAAATGTGACACATCTGAGAAAATAACTAAACAAGAGTCAGTAAATGAGCAGCGCGACGTGGTGGCGGAATCGTCAACTAAAGCCGGGAGCAGTTCGGGAGGAATCACCTACTTCATCATTTTCTCAATTATTCCTCTTTTCGAACAGAAGGAATCTTAACCGCAAATTCTGAACCAGACGCTTTGATTGGTCTAGAGCGGTTCATTCCATTTATTCCGAGTTGAACCAAAATAAGCGGGAATTTCAAATAATTCCGGATATCCTGTTTACCAAATAGTTTCCGTTTCCGGTAAACAGTGTTGTCAGATTTTACTTATCAAATGCTCATAAAACTGACAACAATGTTTACCGGATACGGAAACGATTTGGTAGACAGGATATCCGGAATTATTTGAAATTCCCGCTTGTTTTGGTTCAACTCGGAATAATTGGAATGAACCGCTCTCGACCAATCAAATTGAATCAAAGCGTCTGGTTCAGAATTTGCGGTTAAGATTCCTTTTGTTCGAATAGAGGAGTGGTAAAAATTCACAGCGGCAGTGCTGCCCTCTTGTGGTATTTGATAAAAGTGTTGTTCCCTTAACCTCCAATCGCCTAAAACTTTACAAAATTGGGTGAAAGGTCAAGTGAAGTAGTAAGTTATAGTATATTTATCTAATTTCAACATGTTTTCCACTAAAGTTGGAGCTGTGGCGAGGAATATAGCCACCTCTGCTGCTATGCAGTACAAGAAACCCATACATGGTCCCGGATCGGTAAGATATTATTATCACACCCCGTTCTTCTTACTAGGCAATTCCTAGCGAGTTTCTTCAAGTTTCAGTGAATTATCTCCTCTGTAGTGAGCTCATTACAGTGATTTCAGTTTCTCAGAGATGAAGAGTCAATATTCGAATATGGTTTATATAATGGCTTAGGTTTCTGGACTGTTGCGAGCATGTTTTCTCCACTCAAGTCCTCACAATGCAGCTTAGGACTGTGACCGTTTCCAAATCCTTCAGCTATTAGTCTTCCACAAAATCAAACCCTTAAACTTTTCCTACTGTAAGCTATTTGCTATACTTTCCTCAATGCTGCTGCAGCCCGAATGTTGAAATTTATGTTGGGGCGACAAGTATAAAAAATCGATATGTTTTGCGGCGCAGATAGGGCTATATTCTATCTTATCGTGCCGGCCTAGCCAGGTAAGGTTTCAAAAATCAGGCTGCTGTTAACAAAAAGGACAACTTTTTACAGAACTTGTTCAGTCTCATTATTAATGCTATCAGGACTTTTCTTTCAACCTTAACGGCTAGACGTGGAAATTGCTATTGCTTGCTGTGATCAATGACTCGTAGTTCCTCTTTCTCTGGTAACAGTTTTTTTTTAAAAATATTTACCGATGCCATTGCGCTCCCTTTGTTTCTCACTTGAAAAGGCGCTGAGATAGGACTGGGGAAAGAAAAGAATGGACAAATGGCACATCGATAGAAGGTGGCACCCAATAGAAATTTTTGTGCTAACCTATGGGCCGACTGATAATTCATGCATTCAAGTGGATGTAATTTTCGTCCATTCTTTTCTTACTGCAGTTCTAGTTGGTCATTTATGATGTAACAGAAGAGTTGGGAACCAATGGACAGTTTACTCCTGAGCTAGGTCTCCAATCACAAAACTCAGATTCAGAAAGCAAAGATGTGAGTGCAAGCAAATGTGGTAGTCGAAGCGAAAGTGTACTTAAAGTTTCTGGTATCCTCCGCTGATTACTGCCCTGATTCCGTTACATTAGATGTTAATTTGATGTGTTTGTTTTCAGAACATCCCTTTCAGGATCGATAACCCTTGGAGACTAGTGGCTGTATTTACTGTTTACTGTGGAACTGGGTTTGCCATCCCGTACCTCATCGTCCGTCACCAGCTTCTGAAATAAATAACTCCATCACACAGTAATTCTAGTGTAAGTTTGCCATTTACTTTGCCCATATCATGGATTTCTTCTAAAGATAGTCAGAAGTTATTTAGTTTGATAAATAGTTCTTGGAAATCCTGAAACAATACAGAGGCAGTGGTATCATACTAGAAAACTAGTTTTCAAGTACATGATAATGATGAGGAGCTACCACTACTCATAAAATATGAAATGACCCCAGGGAGTGATGATGGAGATGTTCATCTAGTTAAAAATTCATGAAAAAGTGTGAAATTTTTCCTATTATTTTGTGGTAAACAAAGACACTTGTCATTTTTTAAGGATTCACAATTATAGAACTGTTCCCCCAAAATAATCTTCACCTTTTTTAGAAATGTCGGTAACTTGGAGTGTCTGTAAAGTTGAACAAATCATTTTTGTAAAATTTTCTGAATTGATAAGAATCCCGATTATGATTTTCATATGTGTATATGTTCTGTCTTCACAGCATTCAGGTCTTAGTCCCTCAGAATTTTCTCACTACCTACCGCAGGATTTTGCAATTGCAATGAAACAAGTTTTGTTTCTCCCTTAAGCAAGAAAAAAAAGTGATAGGTGCCACATTGATAAGCGTACCTGTAAACTGGTGGAAGTCCAAGCAAGAGCCGTGAGGAACGTAAAAAGAAATTTTCTGCTTGGAAATTGTCGCCTTGTGATCACTTACTTGCCCCTAATTTTATACTCCCAACTTGTTCCTAAAGATTATGTTTCCTTGTGTTACAGGTGTAAAATGTAGGCTAAAGATAATTTACAAGTCAACAATTCCTTTGAGATCACCAATATGAACGGAACCTCAACGTTCCTCATCAAAATTTTCTTTATTTGATACTGAAATACCAAACCTGCAGATCACTTGTTTTCAACCCTTTTTGTTAATTTTACCTGTAAGTATGTGTTGTCATTAAGAAAAATAAATTGAATTAAGGAAAAAATTTGCTTCACTTTTCAGTCTCTCTTGCCTTTTTGGAATTAAGTCTACATAAATTCTCAACATTTATTTGCTTGATTTCATTGAAAAATTACACTGAATATTAGTTTGAAAAGTACCCTAACTCAACCATTCGGAAAAAATTGGATGCCTTGAGTTCTATAAAAAGTTGAGTTATTATAGCCACCATCACCAAGATTCATCTGTAGAAATGTGCCAAGGTACACTCTACTACAGTTATGGACAAACAGGGTGCCGAAACGGCAGCGCTGAGAATATAGGTCATTGAGTGACATCGCAAGTCACACCGTCTTCGCCGTGCATTTCAAAATGACCCGTTGAAGAGGTTTTGGTAGATCAGGTAGCTTCACTAAGCTGTCAGATGAATTTAAAAAATTGTTAAAACTCAAAATAACGAAAACCTTAATTAAGAACACGAAATTTATGAGACCCACTCTCAGAACAGAAAGTCCACAAGTTTTCAATATGGTCTCACAATTCCACCATTGGACGCTGTCAAATCTATGCGTTTCGACGACTTTCTAAAATTCCATTTGTCCATACCTGCAGTAGAGTGTACCTTGACAATGTGCAGTTTACTGCAAAGTACTTTATAAATTTGAGCATTTATTTAAAATTTATAAATCGAGAGTCGGAAGACATTAAGCAACTACTTTGAGGAAACATATTTTACATTTGTAAGTTCAACCTTCTTTAATTCATTTGCTTCCCATGGTGTTGTGGTTGTCACAATGACTCTCTAGTCATGAGGTGCCTTATTTGATTCATAGCCGGGCAACCCAAGGCTGATGGTCTCAAAAAACGGTTGCTCAGGGCTTGTTCTTGATTAGGGACAGAGAGGGGATGGGACTTAACTTGTAGCATCGAGTTACTCCCTCGAGGGTACTGGAAGTAATAAAAAATAATAATTAAGAATAAAAAAGAGTTTCACACTCTATAGTCTACAAACTCGGTTGTCTGGATACTAACATCAGGAGAAACTATTTCATGTTCTTGCAGAAGAAAATAGACCTCCGCTCAACCCAGTGACAGAATTTTCAAAAAAGTCTATCACCTATTCATGAATTAGGAGCAAAGACATTGAATCACGTAGACCGGTTGTCCGACTAGGTTTAGTACAGGGGAGCAAGACAAGTCTCTCGGAGCCCCATGATGGGCGGGCGTCCCAAGCACTCGAAGAGACTGCAGAGAGGCAATGGAGAATTCATTGGTGCCTCGGTTTTTCACGAATATCTCGTTTCAAGTCCATTTTCAGACAAAATTCCTAAGGAGAAAAGTTTTAGAACATAAAATTTTACAACCGAATAGCAGTGTTTCATTTTTCCGAACTGATCATTAACCGAGAAAAAAAGCCTCCCAATCCGACAAAAATTCACTGTAGCTGCTACTGCGCTTGCACCGATGTGTGCAATTCGGACACACGAGCTCATTGATGCTGGTTGGTGCCAACACTATCGGCATGCGAATTTTTAAAAGTTTTCTTGCCATCCGTAACGCAGGATGCACGGTCTTTGTGATTCAATGTCTTTAATTAGGAGCCTAGGTTCTGGCTGTAGGACTCTTGAAAGAAAAAAAATACTCTGACTAAGAAGAATATAAGAATTTTATAAGAGAGAATAAAATTAGTAAAAAAATATTTATTTGTGACGTTTATTCAACATTGAAAATAGTAAACACAGACGGTCATTACAAAAAATGAGACAGTACAAAAATAGATAAAGGCATGAGTTAGGTTAAAATTAACATTAAAATACAGAGAAATTTAAAGGTACTTGTTGACAACATTTCCTCTTATAAATGACTACAGTTCAAGACTGACCAACTTTTTTCCCTATCATTTTTTCAGTGATTGGCAAAATTCAAAAATAAACTCTAATTATAAGACAAGTGCTTGAAAACCTGAAATTGAATATGCATACTAAGAAAAGTGTACATATATTTCAACCTCTTGGTATGCAGTCAATAATGGGTGCCAGAGAGATTCCCCCAGAGTGGGCAATGAAAATGAATCCGGGAACTTTTACAATACCTGTTGAACTCAATTCAATTATGAACAGTTTTTGAGTATTTACTTGACTTACTTCTAAAATTCTACTTATAAGAAAGTGTGTGCTTGTATCAAATGCACCAATACATTTGAATTTAATTATTAAAATACATAGAGGCCAAAATAGATCATGAGGGCATACTCAGCAGAGTTACTAAGGTTACTGATAGGGCGGCATCTACTACTTTTACCTAGAATTTAAAAATTTACATTTTTTAGGTTTGTTGTAATACATTAATTTAAAACAAAATTATGAACTAGTATCCTATAAAAGATTTAAAGATGATCTGGTAGGTCACTGGCAAAAAAAAAAAAATAAATAAATAAAATTACATCCACTTAACGGAGAGGAATGGAAATGAATTTTCACTCCTGAGGCCTAAAATAATAAGACAGCACACTTTAAAATTGGGAGACGGACTTGCTACTCATAAGAAAATAAATGGAACTCCCAAGATTCTTGAGATGTTTGGCTTGGCTTAGGTCCTTTCCTCTCCTCTTTTTGTATTTTAAGTGGGAGAATATTAAGAGAGTAAATTTAATTGATTGAACAGGATACTAAGACTTGGAAGAGGATTTATAGTCAACTTAAGGAAATTTTGAGAGCCTCATCTGAGAAATTATAAGCTCCCAGAGGGTAAACATATTCTTTTTTCAAGCTTGCTATTTCTTTCGTTTTTACGAGTTATAATAACAAATCTTTAAAAATGATTTCACCAATTATTTTAGCAAGGTGTTAACTTGGGGTCCCTCAAATTACCAATTAGCTCAAATTTTCAAAAAAATTATCATTGTAAAACCGTTAGTTGTAAAATTCATAAATTGCAAAATTTGGAGATAAGCAGCTGAGAGGACATAATGAGAGTTCTGATTACAGTGATATCACGATTATCCAGCCACTTCGAAATGCGGAGTTCTTGGGAGCAAAAACTGGTTGCAATCTCAGCCTTAGATTTCCTCTTTCTTGAAAAATGTTCTTACTTTACAGAAAGGTCAAAAGGATGCACTGAGTAGGAAATTTTTTTAAATCAGAGCGTTATTTCAGAAGAGAGAGAGAGAGAAAATTACACCCAAAACTCTGGCACGCTCACGGACATTCTGACATCTTGCGCAAGCCAGGGGGAAACGCACTGGAAAATTTTTGCATTACTTAACACTTTTTCCCAGCTTTTTCCTCGAGTTTCTGAAGATTTCTCATAATTTCTACAATCTTCCATGGATTTTTAACAAGCCAGCATTTTCAATCAACAAAGACAGTCTCTGCCACATATCGATAGATAGTTACGATATCTCTGCGTACATTTTTGCTTACAAAACATTAATGGTCAACTTAGTTTGAGGTGCACTCTCTTCAGAGAAGAAAGAAACAATTTTTCAGTCTTTGAGTACTATGATCTACCAAATAACTTCTTCTTACTCCCAAGCTGTCTCCCTAGCAGTTAATCACTTACTTCATAGTGGCATTTTTGAGCTAAAAATTAAATAAAAAAACTTAAACCAAAATACTGCTTAGAACAGCAGGCTTGCTCAATTTAGAGGAGAGATCAACTATGCGATCGAACATGGTAGTTACTTTCTCTTAACGTAAGTCCCTGGTCGAGCAACGCCACTTGCAACCATGGTCGGGCAATTTGTCCACTTTTTGCTTGGGGAAATTGACTTCTTCTTGCGTGGTTTCCTCGCGGGAGTGTGATTCTGGGACTCAACGCTGACTTCATCTGCACTTTGTGATGTGTCATCCTTTGCGATCTTTTTCACCTTGCGGCCACGCCTGGGTTTATCGTCATTCTCTTTTGCCGAGTTACTAGAGTCCTTGCTGGTGTTAAGTACTCTCTTTTCTGTGGCTTTCTTTTTCTTGACAGGGGTGTCACTGTCAAACACAAAGCCTCGGCTATCCTTTACTTTCAGTGCTTTTAATTCTGTAGAGAAGAGATCTCTGATTAGATCATAGTTCGGTTCTTCGCAGTGTGTCATTATCGAGACAAGATTGAAGTATTGTACTATCACTAAAAAAGAAAAGAGAGAAAAAAGGAAATCGTTAGTAGATGTGTAGAACAAAAAAAAAATTTGTCGGAGAAGGGAGGGGGAAGGCCTAAGCACTGCATGAGTCTGAAATATGAATGCCTGGTATTTCTTTTTTGACTACACTCAGATGTCAATCACAAAAAGCAGTGAAAACTAGGCTTTGGTGCCCGCAAAAAAAACTGCTAATTATAACATTTAAATTAAAAGAGACCAAAAAGGTATTTTTCAATGACGTAGTCATTTTGACCTTGACAAGTATTTTGTCAGTTTCAATGACAAGTAACGATTATTACTTAGCATACTGGACTGTCTTGAGTCAATTTGCTTAATGATTATAAATGAGCCTATGATATTCTGAAAAAGGGAATTTTTATCGGATCCTTTGAGTTGAATGATCCTTTAGTTCTGAACTTTTTCGGAGAGCAAATGAGGAGGGGAGAGTTAACGAAAATTAACAATAATGTTTTCAACAATTGGTTTTTAACTCTCATAATAAATGTAACATGTAAAAAAGGCGTCAGTCCATTTTCAATGTAATTTTTTTTCGAATTTTTGAACTCTCCGTCCTTGCCGTATTACCGGAGAAAGCAGCGGTGGTCCGCTTCTTGGAATGCAAGGGACAGACACACAGTAATACAGGACGTCAAAAATGCAAAAAAAAAGAAAATCTGAAAAATTATACTTCCGTCCTTTTTGGAAGTGCTGATTCCAATACAAATGAAAGTAAAAAACCTTCCACGCTTAAACTAAAGATCTGGAATACTATGAAGGTGGTCTAAAATGACTATTGATGGTAAATCTTGTCTCTACTGCTGCGGCTGGATTTCTTTTCCCAAGACAAAACATACAAAGACTTCGTGTTTTGATGTACCTCATCACTCTGTTCAATAATACCTTTAGTTGAGGTTTGAGCGCAAGAGCAAAAGTCTCACTATCAGGCAGCACAGTTGAGTCCCTTTATAGTGCCAGCACTCCCATGTGAACTCTCCATTTGCACTATTGGTGCCTGGTCAAGTTTAAGAAACTATCACCTTATAAAGCTATACCCAGAACTTGGAATAATGATATAAGTACAAAACGAATTAAGATGAAATTCTTGAAAAATACTTACCATCAGGCACATTAGGCAGGTTTTTTAAGGACTCGGGTATCTCATCCATGAATTTGTTTTTAGCCGCATGAACAGCAGGTTTTGCTTTAATATTTACCCATGGGAGTGGATTGCCTAGCCACTCCAGAATGTTATACCCAAGCATTTCAAAATCACCCCTTCGACTGGCAACTGCAAAATTACAAAATTAAAAATCAGTCAAAAGAAAATGAGAAAATGAGACTACATACAAAGATTCGATTCTATGAGCACCTTCTAAGGTATAAAATAACATGTTCAACTAGGGTGGCCGTTAAAAATAGCTTTTTCGAATTTTTAATGGGAGAACCCAGCAAAAGTTTCCTTTTAGTGTGTAAAGAAAGAACAAAAAAAGAAAATCGAAAAAAAAAAATTTTTAACCGTGCCGCACGGCCGTTGTATGTGGTACGCTTGCAAGTTCGATTTCCGCAAATCGCGCTTTTTGGCGTTTTGAAGCGTCTCCGAAGGCATGATGGAATTCATGTAGACATATGAAATTATGGTGATTAACTCAACTTTTTGCGTACTTTCACGTGGTGTTAACAGAAATTTTTTAAAATTTTTCAAAGTACGATATTTTTGCTCTCAAAGTAGGGCGAAAAGACGATATGCGGAAATTGAAATTCGCACATCGCGGTATATCACGTTTTGGCGCATTGCTTACGCACGATAATTTTCATGCAGAGATCTGATAATATGGTTAGTGACTCAACTTTTTTTTTACTTTCACGTGGTGTTAACGGAATATTTATAGAATTTTTCAAAGTACGATTTTTTTACCTCCAAAGTAGGGCAAAAACACGATATCTGGAAAATAATTTTGTCAAGTCATGTCTTGACTTCATTAAGTTTCATCATCAGTCCGGGCAACTTGGGAATTGCTTTTTGAAACACTTTATAAATTTTGCCATAAACTTTGAGCAGAAATTTGAGTCCATTGTAAAAGCTGCAGGTTGCAACGCGTTCGCAGGTGGTCCACAACTAGCTGTGATCTCGCGTGCATAGAACACGTTAAAATATGCTTGAAATCGGATGAAGTGTCTGAGCTGCATTCATATTTTCACATACTTTACTTGTTAGTTGTATGACGACCATCTGTTTAGAGGGTCGACGACCAACTTTCGTATGTTTAATGTCGTGTGAAATTTAGCCCCCCCCCCCCCCCCCCCCCAATGTAAGGACTCATTTTTGTTTTACTCCGAAATGCCCACCACTCGGAAAGACACCTCACATAGTATGTTTTAAACACTTTTAATGCCGTCTACATACCACCCGCAATTTTTTTTGCGTAAATTTCAACTAAAAGGCTTACTGATTGAGGAACAACAAACTGCAAAATTCGTAGTTTGGCCGTTTTTGAGAAAATGCGATTTTTCGCTATTTTGGCCGGAATTTCGGGTCAAGGCGCTGAAAAAGTCAAGTTAGGCTGTTTTTGAGGATTGTAAATGCATATCCTATACATTAATAGTCAATCAAGTGTCAGTAGATACGTGCATATTGCCCAAAATTTGTATCCTTAAATTCATGACTTTCGGGTTTTTAGGGGGTTGTCAAGGAGAAATCCGAGAAAAAGAGAGTTAACTCGGAACAAATTGTTTAACAAAATTTTCCTCTGTAAACGTCGTCAGTAGGTCCTCTTGAACAACATACCAAAAGTTTACCACGGTTCCATCCCGGAACATCCCCCCAAATTGCCTAAATTTCAAAATGGCGGCCATAATAAGGCCTCTGGGATTTCGATTTTCTTAAAATCCGCTTACAGTGTCATGTGTGGTGTTAATTCCTATGTAATTTTGGTCGCAGATTTCAGATATGAAGTCAAAAAAGTCCCCCGGTCAAAAGGGGTACCCCAAATCCAAGATGGCAGCCACTTTTGAAAGACGAGGGTGAATTTTTAAAAAGCCAAGATATGAATTAACATAATTATTTTCCAGATATCGTGTCTTTGCCCTACTTTGGAGGTAAAAAAATCGTACTTTGAAAAATTCTATAAATATTCCGTTAACACCACGTGAAAGTAAAAAAAAAGTTGAGTCACTAACCATATTATCAGATCTCTGCATGAAAATTATCGTGCGTAAGCAATGCGCCAAAACGTGATATACCGCGATGTGCGAATTTCAATTTCCGCATATCGTCTTTTCGCCCTACTTTGAGAGCAAAAATATCGTACTTTGAAAAATTTTAAAAAATTTCTGTTAACACCACGTGAAAGTACGCAAAAAGTTGAGTTAATCACCATAATTTCATATGTCTACATGAATTCCATCATGCCTTCGGAGACGCTTCAAAACGCCAAAAAGCGCGATTTGCGGAAATCGAACTTGCAAGCGTACCACATACAACGGCCGTGCGGCACGGTTAAAAATTTTTTTTTTTCGATTTTCTTT